CACAAGCACGATCCTTTTAGGAAATTCCACTAAAACAAAACAGGTCTTCCTGAAATGAGTGGGAAGGCCTCACACTCCAGGCACTGTAATTAAGTCTGTTTGTGTTCCCTGGGCCTTGGCTCGTTCAAGGATCCATGAGGTTTCATATATTAAACTTGACTCTGGCTGCCCTTTCACCCTGACCCAAATATAATCTGTGATAAAATGAGTCTGACAAAGCTTCCTAAGCATGTTCCAGCAAGGGAAAGGCAATAGACGATACAGAAATAATTGGCTTTTATTAAGTGCTTACTACATGCCAAGCAAGCTTTCAAACAGTTCATTCTAGCTTGATTCTTACAGATTCCCAGGTGATTTATATAAGAACCATGTGGCAATTTTGTTAAAATGTAGACTCTATCCCACTTGTCTTTGCAATGACTAGCTTCTGTAAAATTACTGAGTGGGTTTGAACCATCAGGCTTTTGGTTAATAGCCAAGAGTTTAATCATTACATTAACAAGTATGATATCTCACCATTAATAAAAAAATCAAATGATGTTGAAAAAATTTCATCAGTTAGAAAACAAATATGAATTAACCATATTGAAGGAATAATACGTAGGAATATAATACAACACTTAGACAACTTTTGCAGTTGAATCAAAATTCACTTATAACTGACCCTCCAATGGCTTTTTAGAGGCTATAAGTTGCATAGGAGGAGACTTTCTATCTTTTTTTCACAGAGCTGCTGGTGTATTCAAACTCCTGAAGACCATTAGCATAGATAGGATTAATGTAGCAGAGGAAAAGAAAACACGCAAGGATTTGCGAACATCATGGCAAAGCTTGTACCAGTACATTTTCTGAAATGAAATGTTCTAACCTTTGTATTAGCATTAGCATCTCAACTCCCCACCCAATAATCACCATAACTTTTTAATGATCACATAAGTACAGTTAAATAATAATATATTTATAATTATATGCTACATATAAATATAACAAGTGGGTGATATTATTTCATACAAAATCACTGCTAGAATAATGGTAGCAAAAAACTGCTTTCTGATATGTTGTTGTTGTTGTTACGTACAGTCAAGTTGTCTGTAATTCACAGCTCCTATGCACAATAGCTATGAACCCTGCCTATCCTGAAAGAGGTCTGGCCTCGAGAGGGTGAATGCAAAGATTTTGAATGCTAGTCTTACATACTTTGGAAATAGTGCATGGAAGGATCAGTCCTTGAAGCAGGACATCATGCTTGGAAGGGTAGAGGGACAGCCCAGGAGAGGAAGACACTGAAGGAGATGGTCTGACAACAGTGACTGGGGCAATAATGGCAGGTGTGTTGAAGAAAGTGAGATTGGCTTTCTGATATAGAGAATGATTTTCTATATTCCCATATGAGTGGTAGACAATATTGGATTTCATATTAAAAATATAATATTAGGATGATTAATGTAGCAGAGGATAATGAAATATACAACGAATTAGGCACATCATGTCAAAACTTGTACCACTGTATTTTCTGAAATGAAATATTGTTCTAACCTTCAAGAACCTAAAATGGGAGGAGTTTAAGTGATGAGGATTAAGAGAGTAATTATGCAAAAAATCAATACTTCCTCTCTTTTTTAAATGCCCCAACTGAAAGTGTTAATAATTTCTAATTTGTCCTTTTAAAAGGAAACAGAATTTCAAACTTGAATAGCACTCTTGTAGGTATATTTTAGTGAGTAATTCTTAAATGAATTAAGTCCTATATTATAACAGAAAATTAAGATATTTCAAAATGAAAATATAGAGATCTTTTTTATTGTTTTTCTTTAGCAAAAACAAAAATTCAAGTCCATCTGAAACAGAGCAAATGGATCTTTCTGAAAGAGTTGAACTGATCTGAGCAAAGTCCTAAGCAGAGATGAATTTCAATAGCCCAAAAGACCCCTCAAAAATTACCTTGCAAGGTAACTTATTACTTCTGGCAGCACAAATGGTTGTGTAGTTTATGCTGATGACTCGAAACTCATTTAAACATTGTTGCTCTGGAATGGTAGTTAATGTCCCAAAGCTTGTGATTCACAGTCCCCTGTTTCTATCTCAAACATGTCTTCAGCCTCCATCGTGCAGAAGTTCTGGTTTCTGCACCCTGTCAGATAGAACTTTGTGCTCATTTGGAAAAGTCCGTTCTCACGTTCAGTGCTGAGAGACTGATAACTGAATTCTCACATGAACTACACATTTTCAGAGATGAAGTACAGAGCTGCGGACAATGATTGTGTTTTCCCACAGTGTAAATTCTTCAGACTCAGCTGTCGACATGTGGGGGTGCTGCACAAAAGCAGCTTTAACTTGATGACCTTTTTTTTCCTTCCATAAAAATGAAATGGATACTATACTTTCCTTTATGTTATCCATCCTATAATGAGATTTTGTGTCTTGAGCACAATGAGGGCCTCTATCGCCCTTCAGTGTTCTTAGGAGATCAAAGTCTCCTTTCAAAATAAAAACAAATATTTTTCCCTCCCACATAAATATTCCTGTTAGAGAACAATGTTAAAAAGTGTGGGTATTTTTCCCTGCTGTATTTACCTTTTTGAAGATGAGGAGGAACTTTAAAATTTTTAATCTATTCTTTCATAAAACAAAATATTACTAAATAATTATATAGATCAATATAAATTATAGTCAATTGGGATCGTGTTGGACAGTCATGATCATGAAATGGCACAAGAGAATTTGAAAGCAAATGTTAAAGAAAACTAGGAATTAAAAATATCAGGAACATTAAGTTGTTACAATAAGCTATTCTTTAGAGAAGTCATTACATATAAACTGGCCTTAAAAAAATTAGCATTGTTTTCAGAAGTAAAAAAGAAAAGTCAGAGTCCAGAGTACGTGTTGCATCATAAAGTGGTCCGGGGGCTGTATAACAATGAAAGAATTGTTTTCCCAAAGAAAAAAGAGAACTTAGGGTGGGGGTGCGGTACAAGAAGGAAAAGGCAAACATGAATGAGTGGAAATATAAATTCATTATAGACTTTCATTAAAATCTAAAAAAGAAGAAAAGTCTTTCTAAGCATCAAAAGCTAGATGCTTGAAGATGGCAATGAGTATGGTATTTTTAATGAATAATTAGCACAAACAAATCACTGTAAGAAGAGTTTGCATAGAATGGAATGATTATTTATTTGAAAGAAAAAGTTCCAGAAAACCACTAGTGACTAGAGGGGCAGATTTGTAAGAATACACTATGTGTATTACACTATTTCTAAGTGGAATAGGACCCAATGCTGACTCTTCAGTAAGTTCTCAAAGATAAAAGTCACACCTGAGATTGCCCATCTTTCTCCAGCAGAGCAGCTGGTGGAGACGAACCACATATCTGTGCATTGGCAGTACAATTCCTTACCACTAAGCTACCAGCACTCCCTTGTAATATATTGCTAGGTATAAATCTTACTGAATATGGCCATGAGTGGATAAAAAAGTTGAGGAAACAAATAGTAAACAGGCCATGGGTTTAGACATAGGGGGACTTCATGTCGATATAGGATTACAATAAAGTTTACAGATGGTGTAATTGAACAAGTCTAAAGCAAGGTCCAGGAGAATAAATTTGTGGTGAAGACGTAGACACTAAAAGAAATGTAAATCAGATAAACTTATGGAAAAATATCAATGTAATTAACTGCAAAAGCAGAATTGGCAAACTTGGAAGTTGAGCAGCATGTCCTTTTCTTTAATATATGGGTAATCAGAAATGTTATGGCAGAAGGGGAAAGCTATTGATTAATTTGAAGTATGTTACATATTTTGAATAGTCACTTTGTAATATAGAGAAGAAGAAAACCAAAATTATCACATAAAACTCATGGCTTCTGCAGTTACAGAAATATAATTAGCTCGACAGAATTGCAATTCTTTTCTACCAAGTTAACAAAACATAGAAGTAATGAAATGTTTTGAGGTTACCCAGGACTAAATGCACATGAAGCGAGTATAGCCCAAATTTAAAAAGTGATGTAGTCAAGATATCTGGAGAACATGAGCTTCATGTTTACTAATGAATGAGGTCATGAGAAATCAGAAAAAGCTCATAGATTGGGGAACTGAGGAGCTGTGGTTTAAAAGAGAGAAGGAAGACATAAATGAGACAATGCTTACTTGATAATAAAACACCATCATAAACACTCATAGATGAAATGTATAATGAAATATTTTTAAATAAAATTCTAGACAGAATTATTTGATGTAAAATAAAAATAAAACAGTACTAATTTTAGGCACATACATGTTAAATTTTGATGTTATGCTCTGCCAAAATGATATATTTCTATCTGTATGTAACATACATTCTCTTTCTCACATGCACACATCTCAAATAAAGTAGTAAACTCATCATTGCCTAAAGTTCAAGAAACTGATTGCTTGTTCCAAATATTTTATGAGTGAGCTGGTTAAAATGCTGGCCTATTTTCTTCACCTAAAAAGTAGGATAAGGAGCTTTAGGACAAATAAAGGAGAAAAGATTGAATCATTCATATAAATGCCCTTTGAAATTTTTTAAACATTATTAATATGACTTATTATTAGCATTGTGATTCCCGCCCCCCTCCCCCAATCTTCAATAACTAATAAGGTGTTTTCAAGTCAACAGAGATGTGGGAGAGAGAACTCCTACAGTGTGAGATTTATGTCGTACCCACGGAACAAAGACTTTGTAAGTTGTCTTATCTTTTTCCATTGCCTCCCTTCCGTGTCTCCAGGTCACATCTTTCCGTAGCTATCTACTGAGAAACTTCAATTTTGGCAAGAAGTAAATATTATCCTACATTTTTAATCTCTCTTTTCTGTCATGACCAATTTTCTCACACCCAAAGTCAGGAGGTCACCTCCATTAGCTCGACAGGAGACAAAATTTCAAATCAGAGTGCTCACACTTCAAAGGAAAAGTTCTCTAATGAGTCCGTGCACTGACACATGTTATGTGCCTGGGTGAGTTCATGTACACTTACCATTGAGCCACCGGGAATCGTGCTGCTCTGTTCTGATGGGGTGGTGCTGCCCAAGGGTTCGGAAGATAGCAAAATCTCGCCCCATAAAATCAGCTGCCGTGCCAGAATATAATTCTCCATCTGTGTTGTGACAAAATAAAATCATAAACATATAATCTAATTCAATTAAGGAAAACAAAACAAACTGAGGAAACAAAAAGGCTTCTTCACTTTCTAGCCATGCTTTAAAACAAAACAAAACAAAACAAAACACACACACCTCTATATACTTACTCTTCCATTTTAAATCTTATTGAAAGGTTGTATTTTATTTAAAAATGACAAGTATTTTATAAAAAACTGATTCACTGGCTATTTAGCTTTTCGTAGTTAGCTTAGTGAAATGGAAGAAAATTTTATTCTCTAAGCATTAATAGATCACAAAATTTTATTGCTTTCTACTCTGACTAACTTAAACTTATGAAAAGCAACTATATTTAATACACTGTTTACATTTATACATGTAGAGTTACTATAATTCTAATATCTTTATTTAGTAGATTGTTGTTGTTGTTATGTTCCGTCGAGTCGCTAGATTGATACTATCACAAAATCCTGCTTATAGTTTTCATTTTAATAGAAATTAAACTTCTGCCAGATTCTTGGTTGATTAAAGACAAATGAATCATATTTTTTCTTTTTCATTTTTACTGCATAGTATACACCAAGCAGGAGTTATCCTAGTTTAGTATACGATCAAAAAACACGTTTATTAGGTTACCTCAAATAAAAGAAATGTGCTTGGAATGGAGTTGATTTTGACAAATTCAGGTGTAAGTTTTTACAGAATTATCAAACACAGTTATTTCCTTTTTCTTTATTGTTGTGAATAGAGATTTCCATGGTTCTGTAGCATGACAATGCTTAAATTAACTGTAGGTCAGAGTTGAAAACTGAAGAATCAGAATCAGAGTTTGGCATAGAAGGGGTAAAAAAGGAGAGGGGAAAGAGAAGTCAATATTTACTGAATACCACTCTGTGCTTGTCAGGCAGCCAAGCATGGGCTTGACACTTTCAAATTATCTCATTTGGTTCTGTCAACAACTTCATGATGTAAATATTGCTCTCCCTACTTTACAGTTCAAGAAACTCAAGGTTGCTCAAGTAATGACGAAGCCAGTCAAGGTGAAGGTTCATTCCTGGCAGTTTAATCTCCAATCTGTTACTCTAAACCATAATACCGCTTCAATAAAAGGGCAACGTATAAGAATTGTGCTTTCTTTTCTTTTAAACAGGAAGTGCCCATATTATTTTTACCAGGAAATGCATAGTTGTCTGCACGTATATATAGTGAATTGTTTGAAAAGTGAAACATAAACTTACAACATTTCCCTAAAAAATCCGTAATAGAGTATAGTTATAGTCTATCCATTGGTCAGGATATGTTAATATTTGCATTCATTAATTTGAAATAATATTGAGAAGAGAAAGAAGGCATAAGTAAAATATATAGAACTGCTCTTTCCAAAAGGATTTTGTATTTGCTAAAAAATGGCAAGCTTTCTTGTACATAAGGAAAATGTGATTTTAAAATGTGATTATTTATATTATACTTTTCATTTACATCTTACAATTAAGAACTTTGTCGTATAAAAAGGCGTGCCTTTAGAATCCTAAAAGAATTATTCTTGTAGAACCTGTAATTGATTGACTCAGCTTTGGAGAATGCCCAGAGCTATGAAGAAATAGCTACAGAGAAAAACACTAACTCTCAAGTTACTGCTTTCAACCTTTACAAAAAGACACTTAATTGAAAAACTCAGTTGAAAAACACGGATTATTTTGTATTGGTGTAAATGAAGACAGATAAAAGTGGTTATAAGACTTATGTTACAAACAACTACCTAAATTAAGAATGGTCATATGTGATCCTAATTTTTATGGTAGTCTTTTAGATTCAAAATAGTCTAAAAAAAATACTAAAACAAACAAAAAACCAAACCAGCCTCATGTTCTCCTCACTTAAATAACTATGAAATTCAAAGATGACTTGTCGCTTTTGTTATGTGTTATCAAGTCACCTGTGACCCATAGCAACCCAATATACAGTAGCTCTGAAGCCTGTTCTGTCCTGAGCCAATCTCACTGATTCTGACACACCAACCCCCAATTTATGGTATACGATATCTAACTAAAAGTAAAAAAATAATGTTGTTAGTCTTTTAAAATTGCAAAAGTGTGCTACAAATAAACTATATATACATTTTGTAGCTATAGGTCAGTTCCTACTATACAACAACAACAACAGGGATCCTAAACATTTAAATCTATATTAATTAATCTTAATATCTAGCATCTATTCAAGCATTGTAACATTTTCACAATTCTATTTTGATGAATAATTTATTAACACAAGTAGCAAGTGTGTAAGCTTTAAGCGAGATATTTTGGTTGATGTGTATGAATGAGGAGATGCCAGTGGGCTCTGGTGGGATGGTCCTTAGTGAGTTGTGTTTAGTCTGTGGTGAGTTGCATTGTTGACCCCTGGAGGTAGCTTCTCTGGTGGCTCAGATCCACCAGTGACTCCACTGGAGAGAGAGAAGCATTCTCCTTCTGTGTAATGTATAACCAAAAAACCCACTGAAATGTCAGCTATGAGATGCTTCTGACTCGACAAGAATGAGGTTTTGCTTCTGAGATGAAAATATATTGGTAAAATAGCTAAAAGTCCATGCCAAATTCCATGATGGGATGTTGTTCAGAGAATGCTTATGTTCATGATTTTCTTTTGAAAATCAAATGTCAAATATTAGATTGCACTACCTTTTAATCCTATAACTGATAACTGAAAGCAAGCAGAAGACAAAAGTAGAACAATCAAATGGTTGAAAAATCAGCCATTGCATATCATAGTATTGTTTTTATTATGTGCCATTCAGTTACTGCCAATTCAGTGACCCTATGCACAATCGCTCTAATCCCTTTCCTATGCTGAGTCAACCTCACTATGACACACTTAACCCCATTATCTCAGTTACAGTGTCAATTCATCTAATCCAGAGTCTTCCTCTCTTGTGTTATACCTCTACCCATCCAAGCATGATGTCCTTATCCAAAGAATAGTCCCTCCTGGCAACATGCCTGATATGTGAGACAGAATTTAAGAATCCTTGCCTCTAAAGGAGGAACTTGGTTTCACCCTCTCTAGGACAAATTTGTTTTTTCTCTTTGTAGTCTGTGAAATATTCAATACTAAAAAAAAAAAAAAAAGAAATAGTCAATACTCCAGTACCACAACTCAAAAACATCAATCCTCCTTCTCTCACCCTTAGTCATTGTCCAGCTCTCAGATGAACAGTAATAATAATAATAATAAAATAATAATAATAATAATAATAAATGTACAAGACCATGGCTTGGATCAGTCATACCTTAGTCTCCAGGCCGACATATATCTCTTTAGCACTCTGGAGATGTCCCTGTAGCACTCTGGAAATGTCCCTGACAGCTGCCTTTCCCAATGCAATTTATCTTTTGATTTCCTGACTTCTAGTACCTAGAGTGTTGACTGTGGAACCGAGCAAGCTGAAATTGTTAACAATCTCAATCTCTGACAGACCCATATCTTTTCTGAGGTGTATTCAGAAACAGAAGATTAAATGTGCCTTAATTAATAATGAATTGTTCTTATAGTAAATAGTAAGGTTTTAGCTTGTTTTAAGATAAGTCAGTGTCACAGTTAAGACTGTAATTAGTATTATATAAACTGAGCATGGGATGAACTACAACAATTCAAATGAAACTGTACTTAGGAGTTAGAAGCCTGTTTGTTTCTGTAAGCTATTTAACAACATACACACTTTTTTCTTGTATACTTTGTATCTATTCCTATGTGAAGAAGGCATAAATCAATACAATTCTTACTATATAGGCTGTTAAAACAAATTTTTCTACTTTTGCAACATATGGGAAGGTCGTCAGAGAAAGTTTCTGTGGAAGAGCTACTGACTCAATTTATTACTAAGAACAGAATTAATTTAAACAATTGATTTAAAAACTAGAGGAAGGTGCAGTTTAGGCTCCAGTTGCCTCCAGTCATAGGAAATTACCTCCCATCTGAATATTATTTTTGGCTCAAGAGAGGGTGATTTCAGTGAGCCAGAGGGCACCAGATGATGAGGTGGCCAGGAAGAGCACATTCTCAAATTGTTGGTGCTCAACGTCAATAACTGTTTCTTGTGCTGGTTTTTAGATCAGATTTACTGTTGAGATTTCTATAGGGATGATTGCTTCAGAAAATTTATGACATCTTTGTTGTTTTGACTCAAAAGTATATGTGGAGGAATTTCCTGTTTTCCATGCTCATTAAACTGAAATATAATATAAACCCAGAATATATTCCATTGAATACTTTCACCATATATTAAAAACTTGCTACATTCTGTGAATATCTAGTGACCTCAAGATCCCTGACCCTAAGAAACGTATTATATCTCTGTTGGGTTGATTTTGGAGAGAAGATATGATTTTAAAAATCAAACTTGATTACTAATGACTAAAAAATTTATATTTTTAAAAATATATATTTTACACACACACACATTTGTTTTTTATGTACCATTGTGTAGTTAGACCTAACCCATAGCTGACCCTCTGGTGGGTTTTCAGAGACAGTTGACAGTTAATCCCAGGGAACGAGATTGTCATCCTTCTCCCATGGAGCAGCTCGTGGATTCAAACTGCATACCTTTGGGACTGCAGCAAAGATTAAAGCCACCAGAACTCCATATATATATACATGT